AACGTCTAGAGTTTCGGCCGCCTCCGCCGGTCTTCTGGCCCACTGTGCCTCGCGGCCCCTGGAGCTCAAAACGCGTCTAGAGTTTTGGCCGCCTCCGCTGGTCTTCTGCACTGTCAGAAATTTTGTCGTAAATTAGCGACAAAAACGTCGCTAATTTTGATAGCGACAGAAATCGTTCTGAAACTACTTCGTCGTAACCGAACGACGAAAAAATCATTTCTCTACGACAATGTCGTAATCGCGATTACATATTTTGAAATCTGAAATCCCCGAAAAGTTGATGAAAAGTTGCAATTGTGCTCGCTTATTTACGATTTGTGTCGTTCATTTACGATTCATGACACAAATTTACGACAAGATTCGTAAATGTACGACTAAAGTCATAACTGCACGACATTTTCAAAAGATAAATTACGATCGTTCGTAAAATTACGACTAAGTTGTAAATTTACGACTTAATTCGTTTCAAAACGGAAGGTCTCGCTATCAAAATTAGCGACAAATATGTCGTAAATTTACGACTCAAGTCGTATATTTACGACTTGAGTCGTAACAAAATATGTCGTTTTAAAACGACATAATTGTTCTTCAAAATGTCGTAAATTTACGACGATTTTTAACAGTGTGGCCCACTGTGCCTCGCGGCCCCACGGCTCCGCGGCCGCGGCCCCGAGGCCCGCGACGGCATGACGGCAGCACTGCCCGGCCGCCGCTGGTCCTCGGCTCAGGCCGTGGTGGCGGTGGGCCTTGTCCACCAGCGACCGTCCGCTGGTCGGAATTTGGTCGTGACAATTGATCCAGGAAGCGGAAGAAGGGGATAACTCAATTTTGGCCACTTTTCAGGAGAAACAAAAAACTGTTAGCAGGGAAAACTAAAACAAAACAAATGAATGGTGCAGATGTTAATAATTTCAAAAAGCATTAGTAAAATTTTGGAAAAAAATCAAAAGTGGAAGGTCACTCCGTAGAGGATTTCTGCGACTTATCACTTTCCGTTGAAATGGAAAACAGAGTCAGCTCACCTTATATTTCCTAAACGAAGTGGAATTTGGAGACAAGTCAAGTGGAACTATAGTCTGCATAAACTGTATGTTACTCTGGTGTATTTTTTGGACTTAGCTCTTTTTTCCAAATTGAAATTTAAAATTAAGGGGGGGTTAAGTTGAGTTGATTCTTTTTACACTAGATTCATAAAAAACACAAGTTGAGTTATATCCTTTTGCCAATTTGTCAAACGGACTCATGTAGACTAAGGTTGAGTTATCTCCATTTTCCAATGAAATTTAGACTGTAAAAGGGGTTAAGTTGAGTTATACCCTTTTTCCATGTGGATTTTCTCCTAAACTGCTTGGAATTCAGTCAAATAATTTGGTGTAATGATGTAAACCATTCTAAGGCACAATAATAAAATAAAAACTCAATTTGGGGATAAGTCAAGTTATTCCCTTCTTCCGCTTCCTGGATCAATTATGGCGTCGAGACGCCCCCAAGGCCCTCCGCCCCTCCGCCACGCCCAGCCGCGCCCCCAGCCGCGCCCCGCCCCGCCCCGCTCCGCTCCGCCCCGCCCCGCCCCCCCGCTGCGCCCCGCCACGCTCCGCCTCGGCGGCTCGGCTTGCTTGAGAGTATGTTTTTAACTGTACTGTTTCTTGTTTCAGGTCGCTGTACCGTCTGTGAAATCATGTCGAGCCATGGAGTACCAGTACAACAGCCTGCATTGGGGAGACGAAGGTGATTACTTCTTCCTTGAGTGAAGACCTAGCGAAGAATGCCACGCAAATTTTACAAGAGAGTGTGGGATAAGATCAAGGAGGCGTCATTTAGCTGCAGCACTGATAGCAGTTTCGAAGGCGAGGGTGAAAATGGCGTGGGTCAGGCACCTGCTTATGTGCCAACACAGGAGTCTCAGGTAGCAGGTGTGTCCACACCTGCCCATGAGGACTGCAGCAGTTACAGCTCAGGGTCCTCCGGTAACACAAGGGACTTGCATAAATTTTTCCAGAATATTAGTGTCACGGAGGAGAGTTTCGTTGACAGCACTTGTAGTTCATTAGAGCCTGATGATAGTGTAAGTGATGATAATCCTTACTTTCAACAGTACATGGTGGTGAATGATCATGTGCCAACCCTCAGTGAGAGAATAAGATTGTTACGCAAGTGGGCCGTCTTGGAGAATGTTCCAATGACTACCACAGGTAAACTGCTTGCCATCCTCCGTTTGTGGGACCCTGACTTACCATCTGATCCTCGCACTCTATTGGGCAACAGACCTATTGCTCCTGTGACACCTATGGGTGCGGGCCAGTACTACCACTTTGGACTTACCAGTTTGCTGACAGATGCGGTCGATTATGATAACACCCATAGCACTCTTCACTTATCTTTCAATGCGGACGGCCTTCCAGTTTTCAAATCAACAAGGACTGAAATGTGGCCTATTTTTTGCGTTGTGAAGGACATGGATTTGCCCCCTTTCATGTCGACAGTGTGGGGGGGAGTGGGGAAGCCTCCTTTGCAAGAGTTCCTGCGTGAATTCCTGGGAGAACTGACAGATTTGCAGATGCATGGGTTAAGTCACAGGGGAAGACATTACCATATTGTTGTTGAAAACTTCATTTGTGATGCCCCAGCCAGGGCATGGCTGAAAGAATGCAAGCCGCACAACTCATATAGTGGTTGCCAACATTGCACAGCCGAGGGGGTTTTCATCCGCAACAAAATGTGCTTCCTTGACTTAAATGCACCTTTGCGAACAGACAGTGCATTCAGAGCCAAAGACGATGAACAGCACCACACAGGCACAAGCCCCCTGACTGAGACTGGGTTTCCGATGGTGACTCGGATACCCCTGGAATACATGCATGGGGTCTGTCTTGGCGTAGTGAGGCGTTTGTTGTCCTGGTTTCTGACTGGAGCGTCTGGCCGCAAGGAGAAAGGTGCAATACAACCACTCCGCAGAAGGAGAAAAATTAAGAAGGTGCATGTTCCAGTTATTTGCCGTAGGTTGATAGGGTTCAGGGCTTATTGGCCACGTGATTTTGCACGAAAGTCCAGAGCACTAAATGACATGAAAATGTACAAGGCCACTGAATACCGCACCTTTATCCTGTATACTGGTGTGGTTGCACTCAGAGGAGCAGTGTTGCCAAAACCATGCTATGACTTGTTTTTGCTCCTGCATATTGGTATCACATTACTTTCTAGGAACGATTTGGATGATACCATGATTGACACGGCCATTATGATCTTGACAAAGTTTGTGAAAGACAGCCGCAGGACATTGACAACTGACTTTGTGGTTTTCTATGTACACTGTTTGATCCATCTAGGAGCTGATTGTAAAATCCATGGTTGCTTGGACAATTTCTCAGCGTTTGTTTTTGAAAATGAGTTGCAGTGTCTGAAAAGAGCCATTCGTGGACGCACAAAGCCTCTGAAACAGTTGGTGAACAGATACCTAGAAAGGATGCATATTCTACTATTGGAAGGCAGGAAGCAGTCCATTCCTGATGGTGTTGTCACAAACTCTGAGCTAAGTCTAAAACACTACAAGGTGCTCGAGCATACAGCAAAATTTATTGTAAAGGTAGGCCAATCACCACTAAGCAGGGTGACAATGTTGTCATCTTAGACAGTGGTCGCGTTGTTTTCATCAAATATTTTTTGGTGAACTCACACGGTGCATGCTTGATTGGTAAAGAATTCATGACGTACAGGAACTTGTACGAGGTGGATGGAATGACATCTTCACAGTTGGGTATACACACTGTGGAGCGACTGTCTGATCGCCTCAAGATGTGGACGACTGCTTCCATCCGAACAAAGGCACTGGCTATACCCCTGGTTGCAAAGGGATGTTTCGCAGTGTTCCCTTTATTTAGGTAGTTATGAAATAGGGTAGTTTTGTTCATGGGTGTATTTGGAGCAAATGTTTTGCATTGTATTGAGGTATCCAACACTGAGAATTTGGCTAAGAAGTAAGGAACATTTTTCATGTTGGCCTTTCATGTTTTGTCATAATTACTTCACATTCTTTGCGCGATTGTTGAAAGTAGCCATTGCAGAGGTGAATTGTAAAACATTTGGTAGCCTCACAGCCCACAGGCTGCCTATATACTAAATAAACGAGATGACTTATCTAATCACTTTCATTTGTCAATACTACTCCCCACCTTGGTACCTAATCATAGCCTGCCCCCACTGACATTTTCAAATGCAGTGAAGGTCCAGACAGCAGCCAGGAACAGGGGTCTCATACATGTTAAAAGGACTTTGTAAAAACATATTTTTTGTGAAGGACCAAGATTTTATGATTTCAGTATTAAAAACTTTTTAGATAATTGAGTAGGCTTCATTTTGGCATAAAGTAAAGTGACTTTGGACACTTTTTGGATATTTAGTAGTAATGTTTAAAATTTTGGTTCTCGTAAGATTTGGTTCGCATACTTGCACAGATCTGTGGGGGGAAAATCAGGGAGACTCATCCACATTAGTGTCAGAGAATGGGCTTCTCATCTGCAATAGTTTTCAAGAAAAAGAAAATGAACCTTTTTTTGTTAACAATTTTTTGAACAAAGTTTTGAACTAAAAATGGTTTTAATTTTTTTATCTGGAAAACTACTGCAGATGAGAAGCTCATTCTCGTCAATTCTATGACACTACCAGGGATGAGTCTCCCTGATTTTCCCCCTACAGATCTGAGCAAGTATGCGCACCAAATCTGACGAGAACCAACATTTTGAACGTTTCTACTTAATTTCCAAAAAGTGTCCACAGTCATTTTACTTTATGCCACAATGAAGCTTACTCGATTATCTAAAAAGGTTTTAATACGGAAATCATAGATTCTTGATCCTGCCACTTAAAAAAATTACTTGCAATGTGCTTTTAACTAGTATGAGCCCCCTTAAGTGACCTTTAATGAGGTAGTTTAGTCTTTCCAAAGCCTAGCCGAGATATATAAAACCTTACCTTCAGCCAATCAGGGTTGTTAGCAACCCGACATGTCTGCAGTGTGGGTGCTAAGTCAAACATAAAATCAAATAATTATTTTTTTACATTTCTGATTCCAGCTTCTCAATTGTGCGGTGGAGAACATACAACAACAAACCATTGGAGACTCTGCCCAATGTGTGGATAAGGATGCAATCGGATGGAACTGCATTGGGAGCAATACCCAAGAATATCAGCGGGGAGAAGGTACAGGCCATGAAATTGGCAAAGCAGGATCCAGGACAGGATTGGTACTGGAAGCCAGTAACAATCAAGAGCAGAAATATAAGTGAGTACAACGGTTGAAAGTAAGAAGTAATTTCTATTGAATAAATGTCCCCTCTGTAGCAATTTTTTGGGCCCACATCTGCCTCTCTATATTGTCACTCCTTTGTGTTTCAGCCAAATATGAGGATGCTGAGAAGATGCTCGAAAAATATGAACAAGGAGAGCACTTGTCTGGCCTGGACACAGAGTCCGACATTGATGTTGCCTCAACACTCAATTTGGACGGGATTGTGCCTCCTAATCCTCAGCCAAAGCTAGTAGACGACCGTTCGGAATCTGATGCCTCTGTCGAGGACTTGACAGAGGGGGAAGATGAGTTCCACTTTGTGAACGAGGAAGACGATGACTTGGACCTCGATAACCTGGAAGATGTACTCAATGGGGACTCAGAGGAAGAGCCAGCAGCACCTACGCCATCACCTAATGCTTACAGTCCTTCCGCATCACCTGAACCTGGGGCACCGTCGTCTCCCCTGGCATCTCCTCTACCGTCCCCAGCACCATCTTGTCCGTCTCCAGCATCATCATGTCCGTCACCAGGACCATCTCCTTCGCCATCATCTGCTCTTCCGTCTCCAGCACCAGCACAGCAACCATCATGTGAAGATGTACAACCCCCACCACCAGCTACAGCACCATGGACACCTAGGAGTAGTTCTGCCCCTAAACCGCCACTGTCCAACATATTGGGTAAGTCCTAGGCCATGCACATACAGTATATAAGTATGTTTCATTCCCATCGTCAGAGTTATTACATGTGAGCCGTTGTTGCAGGAAAGCTGTCGGCATTCACATTCTCCCCAAAGACTTTGGGACCCAACAAACAACTCTCCACCAATCTCAGTGCTAATAGGTCATCGCCTCTGGCACCCAACAAACAACTCTCCACCAATCTCAGTGCTAATAGGTCATCGCCTCAGGGTAAGTTCCAGATATGTAGTTTGTTTTGTTCTAATTTATTTTCATATAGCTTCCGCTCTGTATGACTTGACTTTATGCACTGTTCACAGGAAACAAGAGTGTCAGCTCAGGACACGGAACCAATGAGAGGAATTCCTCCTCAACTGCTAGTGCTTCACCAGCTGGTCCTTCACCATCGCAGAGTAAGAGTATTTTCTGTGAGATGTTCTCATAATTTATATAATGCCTGCTATTTAGGGATGCTGCACCTGCATCTTCTGGAATGACATGACTCCCTTTTTTACATTCATTTTCCTGAGAGTGTTGCAATGAGGCTATCATTAATAGTACATATTATTTTGATACTGCATAATTTATAATTATGTGTTGTGAATCTTTTTGTAGTACAAGTTTTGTTTTATAAACCATTTGTTTATGGTGCCTCAGTGAGGCAGCATGTGATATCAAATATGCAGTTTGTTTTGTTCCAATATAGCTTCAACAAACTTCCACAAGGATGCGTAATGACTTGATTTTATGCCCTGTTCACAGGTCACGGCAGTGGTAGCTCAGGACACGAGTCCAAGAGGAACTCTGCCTCAACTCCTAAAGCTTCACAATCCCAGAGCCAGAGTATTTCAGGTGAGTGTTCTTATAATTTATATAATGTCTGCTATTTGGGCCTGCTGTACCCGAATCTTCTGGAATGGCATGACTCCCTGTTTTACATTCATTTTTCTCAAAGTATTGCAATGAGGCCATCATTAATAATAGACACATTTTGACACTGCATAATTTATAATGATGGGTTGTGCATCTTTTTGTAGTGCAAGTTTACATTCATTTTTGGTGCCTCTGTGAGGCAGCATGTGATTTCAAATATGCAGTTTGTTTTGTTCTAATTTAGTTTCATCAAACTTCCTGATTTTATGCCCTGTTCACAGGTAACGGGAGTGGCAGCTCAGGACACGGGTCCAAGAGGACATCCGCCTCAACTCCTAAAGCTTCACAATCCCAGAGCCAGAGTATTTCAGGTGAGAGTTCTTATAATTTATATAATGCCTGCATTTTAGGCCTGCTGTACCCGAATCTTCTGGAATGGCATGACTCCCTTTTTTAAATTCATTTTTCTCAGAGTATTGCAATGAGGCTACCAATAATAACATACACATTTTGACACTGCATAATTTATAATGATGGGCTGTGAATCTTTTTGTAGTGCAAGTTATCATTTATTTTTGGTGCCTCTGTGAGGCAGCATGTGATTTTAAATATGCAGTTTGTTTTGTTCTAATTTAGTTTCATCAAACTTCCACAAGTATGCGTATGACTTGATTTTATGCCCTGTTCGCAGGTAACGGGAGTGGCAGCTCAGGAAACGCGTCCAAGAGGAAATCCTCCTCAACTCCCCAACCCTCCAACTCACGATCCCACAGTATGAGTATTTTTGTGAGATGTTCTTATGATTTATATAATGCCTGCTATTTAGGGCTGCTGTACCTGAATCTTCTGGAATGGCATGACTCTCTTTTTCACACCCAACTTCCTGAGACTATCCCGTTCTGGCTTATTTTAAATAGAGGCAAATGAAATGAACGTTGTTCATTTCCTGAGCCGCATGTTTCCTTCAACTTTTGGAAATTGGGTGCTTAAAAGAGAGCAGGACATGTTAATTGGGCATTTTCGATAGTTTCATTTTATTTTCCTCATACTTCCACAGGTGTGCCTCAACTTCTGGGCAACGGACAGATGAACCTCCATCGTGGACCTCAGCCTGATGGCATGGCAGCAACATCTCAGGAGATTCCGTGCAAGAGGAGCCGTAAGGACATTTCACATCACATTTCCAGTATTCTGCTATGAATGTATGAATGCAAAGATGATTATTTATGCACTGCTTCCAGGGCTATCTGATGTCAATGAAATGCCGGAAAAAGGGGACGACAAGAAGCAGAAGAGTAAGTACATAGATAGCAATGTGCGAGAACTCAGGTGGAGAGTGAATGCTTACTTAATACCTCATGTTTTTTGTTGCAGGGAAAATGGGCCGGATTGAGTACCGGCTGGCTAAACTGGAAGTGGCCATTGAAGGGCTGGCCAAGAAGATAACGGGGCTGGCCAGCGTTTTTGTGGCAACAGAGCCACACAGAGTGATTGAAGGGGTGACGATGCCACTGCTCACTCCAGAGGATTTGTTCAACCTGGAGGCGCAGATCCATCCTCAGCCTGGAGCCCAGCAGGAAGGGGGGCTCACCAAGCAGCAGACAAACAGAGCTGCGTTGGTAAGTTACTTGCAGTTTCATTTGCTGTTTGCACGTTTGTCAGACTATGGACACTGACTGAGATTTCAATTTATAGATGCAGTACCTCAAGGCCCAGGGGGCTGCAAGTGACATTACGGTGGACTGCTTCAACGCAGTCATGGGTGCCCTGCTGACTGATTCAGCAGGGTATTGGATGAATTTCGGGGAGGCGAAAAGCGTCCAGCAGATCTACTCCTTAACGAAGCGGGTGTGCTTCGGGGCGGTGGCGCCCACTGTGCGAGCCGTGGTGATAGGTTTGTTCTCAACTCAAATACTTGCTGCTTTCATTTCCTTAATTATTTTGGGAGTTTTAAGAATTAATAGAGGTGCCATATATGCTTTTTTAACCGTTTTTAAGTATTTGTAAGAATGTGCTTTTGGCGCATCATGAAGGCTGACAATTAGCAATATTTCAATTCATTTCAAGACTTAAGCAGCCATTTCATTGCTTTCAAATTTGACCTACTAATAGACCTGCTGCATGACATGTTAATTAAACATCCCATTTCGTCTGTGTGTTTCAGACGCCTACAGCGCCATCGCCAGTATCCCTGGCAAATCGTTTACGCTTCGAGAACTGAAGGCCCAGACCGTCACATGGTTTTCGAAGCGCAAACACTCTGCGAACCCGGCGCCCCCGCACCCCTTCGAATTTTCCGAAAACTGCTGCGAACGGATGGAGGCCCTCCTCAGCTAATTTTGCGCTTATTGATTGATTGATTGAATTTTGTAACCTTTGAAATAATTTTGTGCTGTAATATATCGATAAATATAGTGATTAATGTCCACATGATTGCTGTATACTGATTGCATGCACCTAGAGCAACCCAACACGGCATGTGCGTCGCCGACGGGCTAGAGCGCCTGTAATCTGTGGGGCATGCAGTCCCGCCCCACAGCCGTGCCCGATGGGTTGCCCACCGGGCGCCTGCGGGGGGTTGACTAGACCACCCCAGCGGCATAGTTGTGTGGCGGGACGGCCTATCCGGCTGACGGCAGGCGCTGGCGACCACCGAAGGCCCGTCCAAAGAGCGTTACATACGGCACGTCCTAAGAACGTACCACAAATTACGTAGGCTGCATCAACGCCATAGCGCAACCCACTGAGATGGCGACGTGAACATGAAACGCCCGTGCCGCCGAGCACGTCCGCAGTACTACTCGCGGCAGTGCCGAGGGACCGTCCTGACCATGCACAGCGCCTGCCTGCTTGCTCGTGCCGAGCACGCGTGACGCAGGGCATGCCACGGGCGTGCCCACAGGACAGTCTCGCGCACTACTCGCAAACACGTCCCGCAGCGGGAGGTGCTAAGGACGTCCCACACGGAACGCAGCGGGGACGTGCTCTCAGAGTTCCCAGGGGAACGTCCAGGGACGTGCCTCCAGGCAGACTGACGGCACGTTCCAGGCGGGCAGTGCTGGAGCACGTGTGTAGGCATTAGTTATTTTGACTTTTGGCACGTGCCTAGGAACTGACTACAGGAACGTTCCTCCGTGATTCCAGGCACGTGATTTCACGTACTTGGTCACCAGTTTTGCTGACTAGGCAGAGGACCGATTTAGAGCGTGCCCTTGCGATCCCGCATAGTCCCAGTGCGATCGGCGACGATGGCTTTTGAGGAGATTCTTTAGCGTCGTGCTACGTGAAGTGCAGAAAACACGAAAAGTCAAAGTCGAATTTCGCGTTCCTACTGCAGCAGAGGACCGTTTTAGAGCGTGCCCTTGCGATCCCGCATAGTCCCAGTGCGATTGGCGACGATAGCTTTTGAGGAGATTCTTAAGCGTCGCGCTACGTAAAGTGCCGAAGAGACGAAAAGTCAAAGTCGAATTTCGCGTTCCTTTTGAAGTAGAGGACCGATTTAGAGCGTGCCCGTGCCATCCCGCACAGTCCCAGTGCGATTGGCGACGATGACTTTTGAGGAGATTCTTTAGCGTCGTGCTACGTGAAGTGCAGAAAACACGAAAAGTCAAAGTCGAATTTCGCGTTCCTACTGCAGCAGAGGACCGTTTTAGAGCGTGCCCTTGCGATCCCGCATAGTCCCAGTGCGATCGGCGACGATGGCTTTTGAGGAGGTTCTTTAGCGTCGCGCTACGTAAAGTGCCGAAAACACGAAAATTCAAAATCGAATTTCGCGTTCCTTTTGAAGCAGAGGACCGATTTAGAGCGTGCCCGCCATCCCGCACAGTCCCAGTGCGATTGGCGACGATGACTTTTGAGGAGATTCTTTAGCGTCGTGCTACGTGAAGTGCCGAAAACACGAAAAGTCAAAGTCGAATTTCGCGTTCCTACTGCAGCAGAGGACCGTTTTAGAGCGTGCCCTTGCGATCCCGCATAGTCCCAGTGCGATTGGCGACGATGACTTTTGAGGAGATTCTTTAGCGTCGTGCTACGTGAAGTGCCGAAAACACGAAAAGTCAAAGTCAAATTTCGCGTTCCTATTGAAGCAGAGGAGCGATTTAGAGCGTGCCCTTGCGATCCCGCATAGTCCCAGTGCGATTGGCGACGATGGCTTTTGAGGAGGTTCTTTAGCGTCGCGCTACGTAAAGTGCCGAAAAGACAAAAAGTCGATTCGACTTTCGCGTTCCTATTGAAGCAGAAGACCGATTTAAAGCGTGCCCTTGCGATCCCGCATAGTCCTAGTGCGATTGGCGACGATGACCTTTTAGGAGATTCTTTAGCGTCGTGCTAGGAAATGCCAAACACACGAAAAGTCAAAGTCGAATTTCGCGT